AAGGTTTGTCGGATGCAGGGCTGGACGGGTTCTGAACTTCGCAGTGTTGGAGCAGATCAAACTGTTATGATCTCGACGACGGAGGCGGAAGCGAAGGAGAGAAGACAGGGCGAGAGTGATAGGCGACAAGAGATTGTATTAGCGAAACAAGAAACAAGGACTAGAACAGGAGATGAGAAGAACTGGTGTTGATCTGCTGGGGAGGAAGGGAATGGACGAAGAGAGGCCGGCTATTTATAGATAGGCAACCCAGCAGATCAGAGAACAACAACAACAAGAGGGGACTGGGGGGGCGCCAGCTATGCTCCTGGAGCGTGCGTGGCGAGCGTAGAGAGCATTGGTACAGCTGCTGGCTATGGGGAAGTAGTGGGGGGTGTGGAGAAGCCGGGGGGATTGGCAAAATGAGAGGAGAGAGGAGGAGTGGCAATATTGCGGGAGGATTGGCGAAATAAGAGGAGAGAGGGGGAGTGGCATTGACATTGACATTGACACTGACATTGACACTGACATTGACATTGACATTGGCGTTTGACATTTGGCGGTTGACATTGGCGGCTGTCAGTAGGTAAGCTTATGGTATGGGCGTGTCGTCCATAACACGACCGAAGAGCAAATGATTACACCCATGAAGATAACGCTAGAAGACCATCCCCTTCACACCCACCTCCCAATGATCGCTCCGCTAGGGCTATCACGCTACAACGTAGTTATCAAGCAAGACCGAGTGGTGTTGAAGCCAATGGCGGTGACGCACGTACGGGTCGGCGGAACAAGGCAAGGAAGAATCATGTCGTCGGAACGGCCACCGCCAGCTACCACGACCTACGGGTAGAACCAGTCCCTGAAGTGTATCTGATGGAGGAGAAGCTGAGCGGATGGTGGACCAAAAACCTGAAGAATGACCTACCGCCACCGCCGCCCGCATGGCCAAACGGCCAAAAGGCCGCGGGCCAACGTCATTGGATGATGCCTGGATTGAGAAGCACCACCGGCTCAGCATTCTACACACTTCAGAGCCAAGAAGAAGTGAAGGCCCACGGAACGGACGAGCCGGAAGAGAGACCAGTGGAGGTGAAAGGGTTGGGGCAGGAGGAGAATGGCGAACTGGCGAAGACATCAGCCATTCACAGGATGAAGGATTTGGACGCGGTCACCACCCCTCTGGAGGACGAGCAATCCTACACGTCACCAGCCGCCCGCCAAGGACGAGACCAAATAGAAGCAATGGCGCCTCGGGCTCACCTGACACCGGAAGAAGACAAAGCATTACGGGACGTGCTCCTAGCGAATGCGGAAGCCTTCGACCCCCAAATTCCGGACAAGCCAAACATCCCGTACAAACACCACATGGAGATAATGCCGGGGACTCTTCCAATCGCCCACCCCCCACGCCAACAGGGCCAGGAAAAGGAGAAGGTTCTACGCGAGCACACCGACACGATGCTGAAGGACAACATCATCCGAGCCAGTAGATCACCATGGGCCGCTCTGGTGTCGCTCGTTAAAAAGCCGGGGGGTGGACTATGGTTTGTCACTGACTACCGCAAACTCAACGCAAAGACGATACCCGACTCCTATCCGCTGCCTCGAATCGACTCGACCATTGAATTCCTTGCCAGCAAAAAGTGGTTTACAACTATGGACCTACGCTGGGGATCCTGGCAGATACCGATCAAGGAAGAACACAAGCACCTCACAGCCTTCTGTACACCCCATGGGCTGTTTGAGTACAACAAACTCCCGTTCGGACTCAAGAATTCTCCTCCCACCTTCCAACGCGTGATGGACGCGGTCCTAGCAGGACTGAAGTACGGCTTCTGCCTGGTCTGCGTGAACGACATCATTGTGTTCTCTGACACATTCAAGGAGCACATGATCCATGTCTCTCAAGTCCTCACCCGTATTCGTGAATCTGGACTAGGAGTGAAGCTGGAGAAGTGCCATCTTGCGGTACACGCAATTCACTTCCTTGGCAAGAAGGTGGACGGCCAAGGGATATCAGTAGACGAAGCCAAAGTGACCAAGATCCTCGACGTCAAACCCCCGAAAGAGAAGCATCTGTTGCAACGCCTCCTCGGAATGTGTGTCTACCACCATCAGCACATTAAGAGGTACGGCCAAATTGCTCGACCATTATACAACTTGCTCAAGAACGACGCAGTGTGGAAATGGGGACCAGAAGAGCAAAAGGCATTCGAGGAATTGCGACAGGGAATGGCGGACGCGGCAATCCTGGAATTTCCGGGAGAAGGATGCCCGCTGGTACTCAAGTGCGACGCGAGCAAACTCAGACTAGGAGCCGCGCTCTACAAGGTCAAGGACGGAAAGGAGATCCCTCTAGTCTTCATCTGCAAGTCGCTTACGGACGCAGAGAAGCAGTACTCGAACACGGAGAGAGAGGGATTGGCAATTCACTGGGCCGTGACAAAGCGGGAGTACTACCTCTGGGGAAAACCATTCACGGTGGAAACGGATCACTCTGCGCTGTTGGCACTGGCCAAGCATGGAGACCTGGCAGGAAAGTGGGTGCGATGGAGATACGCGCTCCAAGACTACCAAATGGAGATTCGGTACAAAGCCGGCAGCTCATGGTCCCATGCAGTACTGGACTTCCCATCGAGAGCCTTGTTGGAAGAGAAAAGGTCGATAGGAACCCAGACTGAGGCAATTGAAGAAGCGTCTGGAGAGAGGAAAGACGAGGTGTTCATGATGGAGGGTGAAGTGGCCGCTGCGGAGAAGACTTCTGCAACACCAGGTGTCATTACCCTGGAAGGAGCGTTCGCCGAGGAGATTGAACGCGAGCAGAAGGAGGACAAATTCATCGCGTGGTACCTCGCATTCTTCGAAACGGGAGAACTACCGAACAACGTCCTGACAAAGCAACTCATGCTACGGACGATCTCCGACCTACGCGTCCAGGACGGCATACTCTATCGAATTCAAGAGTTTCGCCGACCCGGGTACTGACGCCGGATGTTCAAACAGATTGTCGTACCGGCCAAATTGCAAAGACGATGCCTGGAGCTCTGCCACGACGACCTGTTGGCAGGACACCTGGGCAGAGACAAAACCTTCAGCAGACTTCAACAGTCCTTCTGGTGGCCGGGATGCGTGGCGGACATGATCAATCACCTTGCCAGTTGCGTCAAATGCAATCAGCACAAGCCGGAAATGCCAAAGTCTGCGAGAGGAGGAGAAATGGACCCAATTGTTGTCGGAGACCTGTGGTGGCGGGTTGGAATGGACCTGCTCGGACCTTTGCCGGCTACAAGGAATACGAAGTTCAAATACATACTCGTTGTCATCGACTATGCCAGCAAATTCAGCTTCGCAATTCCATTGAAAGACGCAAAGGAGTACACGGTTGCCCAGGCTCTTATGGAGCACGTATTCACCATCTTCGGGGTCCCCGGAGTGATAACGTTGGACCGTGGACAGCCCTTCACGAGCGAGGTTCAGAAGGCGCTCCTGAAGCTACTGGGGGCCGCCCCAGCATTAGCGTCGCCCTACCACCCACCATCCAATGGGCTTGCGGAGAACACGATCAAGACGCTCTCAAAGATGATCCAGACCTACGTGAACGAGTACACCCACGACGACTGGGACCGACAACTTCCGTACATCTTGTCCGCTCATCGGACCATGATGCCATCATCGACATTGGAGCTGCCATTCTACCTGATGTTCGGACGCGACCCCCAGATGCCGGATTCTTGTGGGAGAAATCCCACACGCCAACGGAGTCATGGGAGCCGATTGGGAAAGGAGAAATGCCGGTCGGGGACTTACGAGCGAAGATTGTCAGGCGCCTGCAGATTGCATGGGATTTGGCCAAGGAGAACGTCGCCAAAGCCCAAGCACGACAAAACGCGTGGTACGACAAGAACTCCGAGAAGACAAGCTACCAGCTAGGAGAACGAGTCTGGCTGGCAATTCCTCAGTTTCGCAAGTCGACCAACGTAGAAAATGCGACGGCCATCAAGAAGTTCGCTGCCAAATGAAGTGGACCACACCGGGTAGTAGGTGTCGGCGACATCGGCCTCACCTACAAGCTTATGGAACTCCTCTCGCCTGTGGAAGTCATCTACCGAACAGCCCATATCCGGCGCGTGCGACCATTCACAGCCAGACGACCGCTGGATGCGACGGAGCTAATTGAGATGGACGAAGAAGAAATTTCGACAGCTCAATTGGCACAGGCAGCGACAGCTCGAGTCTTGAAGAAGACACCATTCAGGCCTAGGGCGTACAGGACGTCCCACGAACTGAAGAAGCGAGGGCTTGACCTGAACACGGACTCGGAAGACTCTGATGGCAATGTCAGGGATGAATGGGAGGTCGAGAAGATCATCGACCACCGTCAGGACGACGACGGGAAGTGGGAAATCAAAGTCCACTGGAAAAACTGGAACACTGGGCACGACAGCTGGGTGGTACTCTCGGACTTCCGAGGGCAGGAGCTACTGGATACGTACTGTCGCGCAAAGGGCATCACCGTTGGGGACGAATCATCTACGGCGGACGCCCAGACCGACAATGACAGCACGCAATTACGCCGCTCCACGAGACAATCCACGCAGAAGTCTCAAAAAAGGGGAGGAGATAAGAGCGGGGATACCACAGAGGCGGCAGGGCGGAGGCAAAACAAAGGAGGGAACAAAGGGTCAGCTAGTCGGCACAGGAGCAGGGAGTGAGCAAAAAAGGGAAAAAGAAAAGCACGCAACCGCGGACCAACCGGCATCTTCCACGTCAGTGGAGTACCCAGCGGCCCAGCGGGAGCAAGACGTGCAGCAAGAGAATGCTCAGCAGGACAGAAGGGAGAGAACGCCCAGAACCCAAGGGAATTCCCCTGCTTCGAGAATGCATAAATAGCGAGCATCAGAAGCCGCTCCCCTCGACCCTCACCAACCCCCAACCAACCACCGCTCCCCAGCACGCTCCTAAGCTACCCCTTCCACCCCTACCGACCCCGAACCGGTACTCCCAGAACTCAGACCATCATGTCCCAAAGATCCTCCACCACCTCCTCAAGAAGATCCAGCGTCGCAGACCTGTCCAATGCGGTCTCGAAGCCGCCTATCCTGCGACCAACGACCAGGACCAAGAATCAGCGCACGGACTCGCCGGTTCCCGGTACCCCCGTCCGCTCTGTGTACCCCAACAAACCAATCGAGGTTGACTCTGCCCCTCAGATTGACAGAGGGTTCAGAGAGGCCACCGGCTCCCGTACTCCCGCCCCAGTGAAGGCAACGGGGAACAAACGTCCGCCAATCCGCTCGCCCAGAATTACCGTGCAAAATGCCGGCGACACCCCTGCCGACACCCGCAAGAAAAGGAAGGTCCTGGATACGCCTGAAGAGCGACGGAGAGGCGAAGCAATCATTGGCTCCGCCACTCTCAGTGTCTCCGGCCTGGACCCGGAAGAGGACGAGTTCACGAGCGAGACCCTGACGAGAGATGTGGAATACCTGTCCGGAGACGAAGAGGAGTACTACGGAGCAGAGAAGAACGGAGCCGTCTGCATGTGCGAAAACCCGGACGATAGCGCTTCCATTTATGGTCGCGTTCTCCAATGCAAACGCGGAGACCTCTGCTGTGGAAGCCAATTCTACCACCCAGAATGCCTCAACAACAAGAGACTGCCCCACCCTCAGGAAGAGGAGGAAGTTCTGCAGGACTACTTCGCCCAGTACAACTTTGTTTGCCCGCCTTGCCTAGAAGACCTCCCAGAGAATGCGGAGACCGACGGCAAGATCACGGCGACCAAGCACCCGAACGTTGGCAAGAAGAGAGGACTGCGTCTGGTGCCCTACGACCATGAGAACCGCAAGTGGAAGACCGACTTCACGATGAAGACCGGGGAGGGGGATATGGAGGAAGGCCGACCGTACCGAGTCTCAGGGAGGGACATCGAAACCGTCATGCTCCCGAGCCAATACAACGAGTATACGGACGTTCCATCCACCATGTACACTCGTGTGCACGGCCTCTTCCCCCACCCAGTGCTGACCTCGCGCTCGAGAGCCCACAACTAAATGCAAGACTGGGAAAAGGAATTGATCTTGAAGCAAGCCGTCTTCGTCGTCATTACCAACCTGGAGCCGCACTACACGCTATGTGCCAAGGCCCTCCGCAAAGAGCACGGCATCCACGAGACTCGGGACGACCTAGAGGACCCAAAAGCACTGCTCCGCCAAGCCGCCTTCCCCCGCATTGACCAACCCAACTACCTTATCTACGCAGGCCCCAACCTTTGGGAACTCGAGATCATCGTAGCAAGCTTTGGCCCCAAACCCAAGGACAAGCCAGAGGACCAGGAGCTGACATTCGGCGTGCCAAGAGTAGAGTCTGAATTGTGGTCAAGCCTGGCGTTGAAATGGCTTGCCACCGGCGACCTTGGTTCGCTCAAGCCAAAGGGATGGAGGACACCGGCGGGCGAAGCAAAACACAGAGGATCACCGAGGTTCAGGACTCAAAGGGGGCACCCAGCAGTGGACGCACAGGCGGTCATCCACGGAGGGGTATGGACAACGACAACCTCCGGGGGAGAGACAAACAAGGACAAATTACCTTGCCCCACAGCAGAAAGTCGACACATCAGATACAGCCTCAGGTGGGTGGAGTACCTCGACTTCGCGGAGAATGCCACGGCACACAAGCGCATGGCCATTTGCCACAAATGGATTGACCCCGCTAGCCATGCTCGACGGAGGAGTGTTATCGACAACCTCCCTGCCCAATGTCAACGCAACATCCCTGCGGGCTCCCCAGGCACTATGTGTGTCATCAACTTCAACGTGACCGTCCACTGCCACGTGAACCCCAACGACCATGGGTTCACCGTCCAATACGTCCACGGAAGCTTCTCTGCTGGAGACCTCGCCTTCCGCAATTTGCATCTCTGCGCCGACACAACCTCGGGCACGATCACTTTGGTCCACGCCCAGGTAGAAGAACACACAGTGCTGGATTGGGGACCACTGCCCGGACGGAGCTGGACCAACACCTGGCGTTTCAGTCAGCCCACCACGACACCACGGGATGTCCTGCATGCCCATAGCCGGAAGGAACTTCAGGAATCCTGGGCGAAGTACCGGGGCAGCTCATGGCCTACCCAGGGGCTCAACATTGCCCAGCGTCCCAAGACCGACGTAAACTTCAACCCTCAATATCAGCTCGAGACCCTCAAGACGAGCCTGCAGGAGTCGCCAGACGTCTACATCGGCCACGCTTCCATCGCCAGCGGCGACGAAATCGGCAACCCAGACCAATTTAACGTGGATAGACGAAACATGCTATCCCGTTACACCGAGGGCGTCGGTGACTTCGCCCCGATCGCCCGCCTCAAGCAGCAAGAGGCTGCCCGCAGAGCCCACGCCAGCCTCGCCGCCAGCGAGCACACCACCCTCGACGACATCTTTGACGCAATTGTCGCTCGGTACCCCACCACCCCTCCGACCTCACCCCCGCAACCACCTCGTCCTGCGCTCCGAGCTAACATCACGCCCGGAACGAGACTGCTCCTCAAGTACCAACACGTCGTCCCTCTCCCCGAGTCCGACGCCAACGAAATACTCCGCAGATGGTGGCTTGAAGTACGCACCCTCAGCGCAGAAGCGCGTCTAGAGCCGACCCAGACCACGACTCAGCGGACGACAAGACCATCTGGTGCCGGACCATCCCGCGCTGGTCCATCCAGCGCGCGCTGATTGATCAAACCTACGACACCCCACGACTTCAAACAACAAACACCACTTCACCAACACATCCGCCCAAGTAGCGGAGGTTCCCGGAGGCTAGCCCACCATGGCAACATGGTGCAACAGGCTAGTTTCTGCAAAATACAGGGAGTACCACGGCGGAACCCTTCTGAGCACCCCTCGTAGAGGAAAGCTCCAAAAAGGGGAGGATGTGAAAGTGATCAGGTTAACGGCATACGAGGAGATGGGGAGATTCAAGGGAAGATTAGTATTTGTGCGCGCGTGACCAGGCGTGATCAGTAGTAGGATAGAGACACACCCCCTTCCCCCCCCCACTATAAAAAGGACGACACTGGCGTAGATTGCCCCGGGAGCATCTTACCGGCTATAGACTAGACCATAAGTTTGTACCATAGGAGCTCAATTGACCCAACTGACTAGCGTACCTACGCCTAGCAGTCTGGGGTTGCCAATATACGGAGTACGCCCAAGCGTGTCTACTTGTGTGGTGAGAATAGGGATTTACTTAGCCTCTACCTTTTACCTTGCACTCTCCACAAGTAGATTACCTCCACCCGCGAACGACCCGATTTAGGACCTATCTCAGGGAATAATCGACCACTTTTACATTTCTAATTCGGTGTCGTTTCTCCCAATACTTCTTGTTTGCCCTTCGGCTTGCGATTAGTCGCTCTGTCGCTAGCTTCAGGTCTTTGTCTCTGTATCGGAATTGTTCGATGCGGTGTTGTAAGAGTGTCTCGGTTGTCATGGGTTGTTGAAGATTCGGTACTGTCATCCATGTTTCGTACGTGAGTTCGATAGGTAGTACTGCTTCTCTTCCATAAATCAGGTAGAAGGGTGTAAACTGTGTTGTTCTTTTCGCGGCAACTCGATCTGCCCATAATGCAGCAGGGAATACGGTTGGCCATTCTCTCGGAGTCGGTGCGGTTCGAATAAGACTTTCGATAATCGGGGCGTGTCCTTTCTCTACTAATCCATTCGCTTGCGGGTGTTATGCAGTAGTGATTCGGTGTTTGACACCGTATCGCTCGGTAAGATGTCGTATGATTTCGTTGACGTTTTCCGGTCCACCATCGGATACTAGGTTTCGATCGGTCCGTGTCGGCAGAATACTTCTTCATATAAGAATGCAGCAATCTTATGTGCAGTCGGCTTGCCTCTGATCATTCATCCTTCAGGGTAACCGGTTGCGTCGTCTCGTAAAATCATACCTCCTTCATTTGCGTTTGTTCCTTTTGTGATAAATACGAAGTCTAGTCCACATTTCTGAAAGGGTCGTGTCGTTTGGATTTCGATGTAAAGCGGTTCAAATTCACGTTGCGGGTCTCTGAATAGGCAGTTGTGACAGGATTGAACGTAGGCCTTCACTTCTTTGTACAGTCTTGGCCAGTAGTAGCGTTGTCGTATCTTCCGGAATGTCGCAGGGTGGCTGCTTGCCTTCTTCCAGGTCGATAGGACAGTCGTAGGGTCGGTGCTTGGGGAGAGTGTCAGCATTTCTCTTTTCGAAAACGTCGGCGAAGTCTCGATACTTGGGGGGCAGGAAGTCTTTGATGTCTTTCTCGGGTGTCGGGGGGTCACTGGGGCTAGGCGAGGCCGGGAGATCGGGTTTCACAGGGTTGGCGTAGGCAACAAAGACCTGGTCATGCCTTGCTGCGACCCGGAAGGCTGGGGCGGAGATGAACGAGACTCGGAGCGGCGTGGGAGCCGGTTCTGGGGTGCTGCAGCGAGATACCTTGGGTACTGGAATCGACCATGTTTCGTTGACGGGGACTTCATCCTGGGGGATGCGGATCAAGGGCTCGGGGGTTCTGGCGGGTGCTGGGCTCGGGGGTGCTGGAGAGTTGTCCCAATTCGCGAATTCATGGTACAGACAGTCGCAACGGAAACCGACCGAAAGGTTCTTGAAGTCAAGGTTAATGTCGTGGAGGCGGAGCCAGGGGAGACCAAGGAGGATTGGAGCATGGGGTGATTTGGTGACATGGAAGGCGAGTTCTTCGAAGTGGTCGTCGACCCACATGCCTGCTGGTTGGGTGTGATGGGTGATTGGCCCAGCAGAGCTGGGTTGACCGTCAACAAGTTCGATCGTCAGGGGACGCTGATGCTGGACTAGGGGGATGCGGTGCTTGCGGGCAAAGTCCTCGTCGATGAAGCAGGACAGGGCCCTGTTGTCGATCATGGCTGAGGTAGGTATCGGGGCACCGCTGGATGATACCATGATGGTAACGGGGTAGTTGAAGGGTTCGGCAGGACCCAGCGCAAGCATGGCGCGGGGGTTAATTTCGGAGTTTTCGACATGGGCGGCGGCTAGGAGGGTTGTGTTGGCTATAACGGAGTCGGGAACCAGGGGGGTGGCCTCTTCCGTTGCAGGAGCTGCGAGGTTAGGAGGCCCGGAGGAGTGTGTGTTGTCCAGTCGCTGGGGCTTTACTGCGGCTGGACGTTGGGAAAACCCTGTCCGGTGGAGGTTTCTTTGATGTCGATGGTGGCGGCACGGGTGGTGGCCTTGTTCTTGGCGGGGCAGGCCCTTGCAATGTGCCCCCCGCTGGTTCAGTGCACAGCCATTACCTTAGTCTTTACCGCAGTAAAGGCAAAGATTGTTGGAAATGCGGCGTCGGCGTTCCTGAGGGCTCAGAGGGCCGCGGGGACGAGCGGCGTCAATCTGCATAGGCTCGCTGTGGTCGACAGTGGTGGTAGTAGTAAACGAGGTGTGGGGAACCGGGAAGGTCTGGCGGCTTCTGTTTCGCTCCAGGCGGCGCTCAAACAGCCGGTTATCGCCCTGGATAGCCTGCTCCATCACCATATCAATGGTGACAGCAGGGGGCATTGTGAGCATCAGGTCCTTGACGTCCTCTTTGAGGCCACGGCGGAAGGTAGCAATCAGGGCCTGGTCGTTCCAGGAGACATCGCATTGTAGCTGGCGGAACTCAGCAACGTACTCGGTGGCTGCACGGGTTTGGCGAAGGTTCTGGAGCTTGTTTTCGGAGATGCGGACCATGTCACTGTCTCCGAAGACAGATTGCATCTGACCGATAAAACTATTGAAGTTCTGAAGGCTGTGGTCTTGGCGTTCGACTAGGGGCGCCATCCAGGCTTGCGCAGTGCCGGTGAGGTAGGTGCCAATCGTTTGGATCTTGATGATGTCGCTGGGGTAGCGGTCGGGTCGGAGAGCGAACCTCAACCGGATGTTGTTCAACCACCCACGGAATTTGCTGCGGGTACCATCAAACTCTTCGGGCGAGCTGATTCTTGGCTCCAGAGCTGCAGGAGCCGGGTTGGTGACTTGAGGACGGGCGTACGCATCGGCTTGAACCTGGGTGGCAATGTTCTGGGCAGCTTGTGCGTCGGCTTGCGCTTGCGCTAGGTTGGCCTTCAAGTTGGCGTTTTGGCTTTGCAAGGCAGCGATGGCATGGCACATCTCATTCCATTGTTTGGCGGTGAAAGGTACGGATTCGGATTGGGACATGGTGAAAAGGTTTGGCAGATGCAGGGCTTGGCGGGTTCTGAACTTCGCAGTGTTGGAGCAGATCAAACTGTTATGATCTCGACGACTGAGGCGGAAGCGAAGTAGAGAAGACAGAGCGAGAGTGATAGGCGACAAGAGATTGTATTGGCGAAACAAGAAACAAGGACTAGAACGGGAGATGAGAAGGGCTGGTGTTGATCTGCTGGGGAGGAAGGGAATGGACGAAGAGAGGCCGGCTATTTATAGATAGGCAACCCAGCAGATCAGAGAACATCAACAACAAGAGGGGACTGGGGGGGCGCCAGCTATGCTCCTAGAGCGTGCGTGGCGAGCGTAGAGAGCATTGCTACCGCCGCTGGCTATGGAGAAGTAGTGGGGGGTGTGGAGAAGCCGAGGGGGGATTGGCAAAATGAGAGGAGAGAGGAGGAGTGGCGAGATTGCGGGGGGATTGGCGAAATGAGAGGAGAGAGGAGGAGTGGCATTGACATTGACATTGACACTGACATTGACACTGACATTGACATTGACATTGGCGTTTGACATTGGCGGTTGACATTGGCGGCTGTCAGTAGGTAAGCTTATGGTATGGGCGCGTCGCCCATAACAATATCTCTTTACTTCTACTTGATCCGAGATCCGGACTGGCCACCCGAGCTCTCGGTGATACATTATATAAGGCGCCAAGCCTCACTGAAGCCACGCAAGCCCCACTGGCAGCGAATATATAAAGCTGTCAGTCGAGCGGCCGCTGCAAAGAGCTTCTTACTTTTTCTTTCACTACAATATACTGCTCTCGGCCCTCTCAGAAGGGCCCAATATGGTCTACAATTCCTCTGACGTTACAGTACCCCAGCCCGACAAGAGAACGGACAGGCAGCAATCCTCCAAATCCTAGCCCAGCTGGCCAACACCAACGCCCAACTCCAGCAGCGATTTGAGCGCCTGGAGAGGGACTGCCCAGATGACAGCCCCTTCGCTGGAGTACGGGTTAGCCGCAAGGACCATTTGGCGGCTAGCAAAGAGCGTAAGCGCAACGCGGCCGCCGAGAAGGAGTTCCGAACCACCTTGGCTAAGAACCACCTTGACCAAGTTCGACGGTAAGGCTAACGGTAAAGACATGGTTGCCAAACTGGACAAGTTCGTCGACGCCCACCTACGCTATCTGGAAGTTACCGAATTCAGAACGGAGGACGGGGACGTGAGACACTTCGTAGCTCACTTGTCGGGAGACGCCGCTGAGTGGTGGAAGCACGAGGCTCGCTCCAGAGAGCCTCCTGCCACCCGGGAACGGTTCCTGAAGGCACTCAGGCGCAGGTTCTACCCCGACAACCTCCGTAATTCGGTCGAGGCGAAACTGGCCGCCCTGAGGTTCAAAGACAGCATGTCCGACTACGTTTCGGCCTTCAACGCACTGACCACACAGATCGCTATCCGCCCTGAAAAGGAACATCTCACTCCGCGACAGGAACGTGAGTACTTCCTGAACGGGCTGACCTTCCACCAGGTCGGACGTCGCATCCGTGAGCAG